CCTCAATCGCAGCGTTCACATGACTTAGGACAATAAATGTCCATAAAATCTGCATGTGCCCAACACATGTGCTCTGTTGCTTTCCTTTCACAAAAGCTTGTGTAGAGAGGATGGTCCACACATTCTGAAAATAACACATTGGAAAAAATAAACCGAACGAGTATATTTACAAATATACTGCGCAATCTTAAGTAACGTGTAAGCGGGAATGTTATCAGAGAATCAGCAGATTGTTGTAGTACTCTACCGGCATTTTTTGGGATTAGAACCTAGCAAGTCCCAAAGACGCAATATGCCCGACATAGATGAAGTGCTGCATGACTAATTACAAAGACTGGCTGATGACGAAAGAGTGACTTGTGAATAACAACAATGAGGAAAGAGTGACTTGCACCTCTGGGTACAAGAGTGCTGCATTATAAATGGCGGAGAATAACAACAATGACGAAAGAGTGACTTGTATCTCTGGGTACAAGAGTGCTGCATTATTAATGGCGAAGACTAACAACAATGACGAAAGAGTGACTTGTATCTCTGGGTACAAGAGTGCTGCATGACTTATGGCAGAGAATAACAACAATGAGGAAAGAGTGACTTGTACCTCTGGGTACAAGAGTGCTGCATTATTAATGGAGGAGAATAACAACAATGACGAAAGAGTGACTTGTATCTCTGGGTACAAGAGTGTTGTATGACTTATGGCAGAGAATAACAACAATGACGAAAGAGTGACTTTTATCTCTGGGTACAAGAGTGCTGCATGACTTATGGCAGAGCATAACGACAATGACGAAAGAGTGACATACCTTTGGTTACAGGAGTGCTGCTCGGAAAGTTGTTTGCAGCTTCTGGTTGAACACAAAAAAAAAACAACAATAATTAAAAGTCAAACACGATATTATCGTTTTTCGTGATGCTCTGAAAGTAAAATCAGTTTTGGTAAAGGATGATGAGAGGAGGGAGAAGCTTCGAAAGAAGACCGGTATGGGGAATTAATTTTCAGACCTTATTCTCCTCCTCTGTAAAAACTTCACAAGGTGATACTTACGCACGGCGCCGCAAGGATTTCGATAAATATTGGTGATTATATACTGCAGATGTCCCTCAATATCTTTCACATCCACAACATCGTCATCACTTCCTGTCATTAGCCTCAATCTATTTTTCGCCATACCAGTTCCAATCCCCACCGCTAATACACGAACGTTTGCCTGTCGAAGGGGTCTGGAACTCTCCCTCAAGCTTTTAGCTCCTTTGGATTGTACGCCATCACTTAGAACGATGACAATCTTATATGCATAGGGTCTCGCAGAAGAGAACACCTCATCGACAGCCACATTTAGAGCCCTGTCGATTCGAGTTCTTCCGTTTTTCTTTCGTAGTTTTTGTACAACTTCTATGTACTTTTCAGCGGTATCGTACTGTCCAAGTTGAGCTTTGACACTCGCTGATGAACCGAACAAAATCAGAGCTTCCCGGTTACCAGTTGCTGTCACCTGCACCACCAGCTTCTTGACGAGGAGTCTTTCCTCGTAGAATTCCGCTCGCTTTATGCTTCCAGAAGAGTCCATGATAAACGCCACATCCATGGGGCATACTACATTAACCAACAAAAAGATCAGTGTAAACTATCTTTTGTAAATGCTTGGCTAACGCACCTTTCAACATAGCACCCAGGATAGAGCTGCCTTTTTCGTGCAATCATAAAAAGCCCTTTCAAGAGCTACGGAGCAGCGTAAAAATTTTGAGGCATTTAATCTTTGTGGATTTTCCAATAGACCTTTATCTGAAAAAGTAATTTCCTGAAGAAAAAAGAAATCTGCACGGCAATATACCGCAAATGCGAAACACCAAATGAAAAACTCTGCATGTATCACTTTTCGCTTCCATGAACCCTTCAACTCTTAATATCTTATTGTCAATTCTCTCTTCTAGCTGTTACAGATTTCCTTGTAAA